TGGCCTCTGTCTGTATGCAATAATAGTGCTTCACATGATTTCAGAATAAATACACCTGTTTCTGTAACGTCCCTCATCCAGGTAGTGAACATCAAGCTAAGATTCAACCATGAAGACCAAGGAAATTTCAGAACACCTGAGGGATTTAAAAAGCTACAAATCAGGAAAAGGGAACAAAATGTCTCAGGCCCTTCACATCTCTTAGGAGCCTGGTGAAGTTGAGCATTAGGACGTGGGAGGCACCCAGACACTGCTTAGGTCAGGCTGGAGGAAAATGTGAGGTCAAGAGCGACTTTGAAAAAGCTACAGAGCTCAGGGGCTGAGAAAATGTCACAATCACTACACAAAGCTGGCCTGAATGGAACCGAAGAAGAAAACGTTTTTGAAATCAATGTGTAACAAAGCATTTATTGTAAAAGTATCCTGCAACCATGTGGCTTTGTAGCAGGACAAGACAAAATTAGAAGTTTCTGGTCTAAATGCAAAGCATTACGATGTTTGACACAAACAAAAACACCTAGCTAGCTATACCCCTCCTGTGCAGTATGGCCTGGCAGCATTACTGTATGTTACACTTCTGCTTCTAATCAGCAGGGACGAGGGAGATTGTGGAGATTGAGGGGAAATTGGATGGTGCACAAGTACAGTATGTCTTAGACTGCTTCAGTCTGCTAAAAACCTGTAACTGGCACAAAGCTTCACCTTTCAGCAGGATGCTGACTCCAAGCCACACGCGTTTGGATTAACAAGAAGAAAGTGAATGTCCTTGAGTGGCCCCGTCTTTAGTCCAAGGGAAGCTCATTGTGGTTTGGGTGTGCTCATTCCCTCACAAGGCAAGGTCAATGCTAACGCTTAATGGTAGAGCCATCATTTTCACCCCTGCATCTGCAGCAATTCCTTTCTGTCGGGACAGGTGTCTTTTGGGATGACAATGTCCCCCATCCACAGAGCATGTGTGGTCACCCAGCACAATACATATGTCATCCATATGTCATAGCCTTCACCTCCACCAAACAATCATGAGCTGACTGGCTTTCTCATGCAAAGCTGCATCATCCCTCCTGCAGAATCCCAGACACTGGTAGACTCGCAACAGGCCGGACTGGCCACATGTAGCAGCACAACCTACTACTAACTGACTTTACATTGGTGTTTTTATCATTTTGCCCATGATCTGCATTTAAGTTTGAGATTTTTCTTCCTGACATTTTACATCTTTCATGCTTAGAGGTGTCCAAAGGTGTTTTTTCCTTAAGCATTCAAGATTTGATTAAAAATACATCTTTTATAAAACACCCATACATCACTGCAAATCATCCAAACGGCACCTCCTGGGAAGTGGGTGAATACTTCTGCACGGAGCTGTGTACTGCGTGTAAAGCTAAGATGAGGAGTCCCTGCTCCAGAGGAAAGCCTTACGGTTGCGGCCAGCTCTTCCTTCTCTCTCTTGGCCTCCTCTCGAGCGGCGTCCCGAGCTTTCCCAATCTTCTCCTGCTCGGCCGCCAGCTCCCTCTCCAGATGCTGCCTCTGCCTGGACAGCTCTCTCTGCAGCTGCTCACACTGCACCAGTGCCTGGAAGGAGCGAGCACGGTCAGCAGAGAGCCCCTCCCCGCCGGGGCCTGGCCAGCGAGGCTGCCGGCCACCGCGATCGCTGCAGGAGCACCAAAGTGTCTAATTCTCCACTCACCTCCACGTAGCACTGTTATGCGATATTTGTTTTGTATAAACCCTGAAAAGCAAATCTTTCCAAGAATCCAACCAATACCAAAAAATAAGGTTTCAAAAACTATTCCCCGCTCACAGCACTCCATCTACGCTTAATGCATTACATATAAATCATTTGAAGGAATTATAAGAATTTAAATACCGCAAACCCTTCCCCAGCACAGGTTTGTCCAATGCGTATTTGATTATACACAAAATAAAAAGAGATGGCAACAAATAATGGTCAAACACTAACAATCCGAACGTGTGCAGTCATTTACTGCTTTTATCGCTGGACTCGTACAGCAATGTCTCCAAAACTCCTGCACCTCCGCACCCTTCTCTCTCTGGCTGACAAGTAGTCCAGTGAAGTCTCCAGGACTTTTCCTGATGGTCTTTGTTTTTAAGACCCTGACGAAGCAGTACGGTACCAAACCGCAAGGGTGCTATAGCGAAGACACTTCGTGATTTTGACATTTGTGGAAAAAGTCAAGATTCTTAGGTGTGTGGAGGTCTGAGAGCTCTCAGCTTTCACCATTAAAATGTCAGCATTAAACATCTTATTTACCAAATGTCACGTTTATGTTTTCACTGTGAAATACAAGTTTTTTAATTATATTTTTGAAATTCAACAAATGTAGGGCCATTTATTTGTGTGTAATGCTATAGGTGCAGGATATAGGTGTTAATGGGTGACTTTACATGGCTGTGTTCACATACTGTATTGATTACAGGAGGTGTTGAGTTTCTCCAGGCAGAACGCAGCGCTTTGGAGGAACATAACCCCTGCACTGGACAAGGGCCTGCTGTATACAGTAAACAATATTCTTCCTCATTGCGTCTGCATATTTATATAGGACTTTCATCCCGATACTGAGACAAACAAAAGGTTTGAGTAAAAACCCCAGAGACCACTGAACTAACTTCGGAGTGATCCCTGGCTTCCCAGTGTGCCAACTCTGTTTGGCTGGGATTAGAACGCTGCCATGAGCATTAGCAGTGACCCTCTCCCTGACCCTGACAAGGCCTTCAGCTCGTGCAGAAGAAGGACAACCCGTCGAGCGATCAGTCCCCAGAGGTCTGTGCTCCCCCTGCCTGCCAGCAGCTCAATGCAGCACTGCCGCGCACGAGCACGAGCAGGCCAGACAGCCTGCGCTGGCTGCGGACCTTCTGGTTCTGCAGTGTACTCGGTTAGCGTCAGCGGCTCCTGCCTCACTCACTGACCCTGGTCTTTTCCAGGTTGGCTTCTTCTGCCATCTCCACAGCCTGCTTGACCTGCTGATAGGCGCCCCACTCCCTCTGCTGCGTTTCACCCTGGCTGGCCCTCAGCGACGACAGGACTGCCAGCAAGTCATCCCTCTCCCTGCCGCACAGCAACACAAAACAGTCTGACCTGACCCGTCAGTGTGCAACTGCCATAGAAACCACTGGACACCCACGGGGTTCTGCTGGCATGTTTGTGAAATGTAATCCAGGTGTCTTTTACTCTATGGAGTCCATAGCTCCTAGTGCAGCTGAAGTCAAGAATTACAAATAACTCCACACTGGCTCAGCGCCTCAACAGCCTGAGCAGACTGTGGTAACAGCTACAGCACACCTTCACACACAGTTGTGTACTATCAGCGTCTTAAATTCAATTTTTTAATTCAATTTCACTTCACACAAAAAAAAGAACACCATCGGTCGGCATCCTGTTTTATTGAAAATACTGCTTTCCACATCGCAGCTGTGATAGATTTATACATAAGGAAATGCGTGTGCGTTCTTCAAGCGGACAGCTCGACATTTCAAGATTGTTCGCCTATTTTGACAAATTCATGGACAATAAAGATTAATTCTGTTTAGATATTTTCTAAGGTTTTTTTCTAATCTAAGGTTGCTTCTGGAAGTTATTAGTGAGGCCAGCAGAGGGCGCTCACCCTGCAGTCTGTATGGGTTCTAAAGCCCCAGTATAGTGATGTGGACACTATATTGTAAAAAGGCGCTGTTCTTCAAATGAGACATAAAACTTAGGTCCTGACACTCTGTGGTCAATAAAAATCCCAGGGTGTAACCTTGGTCCTGGCCAAATTTGTCTCGGGCCTCTACCAATCATGGCCTCCTAATAATCTCCATCTATGAACTTCATCATCTGCTCTCCTCCCCACTGATAGCCGGTGTGTTGTGAGCGTACTGGCTCATCCAGGTGGGGCTGCACCCTGGTGGTGGTGGAGGAGAGTCCCAATGACCATTATGCGCTTTGAATGGAGTGTCCAGAAAAGAGCTATATAAGTGTGAGAAATTATTATTAGATATTAATATTTTGCTATTCTGTGTTGCCAAAGCCCTCAGATTACCAAAAGCTTTAATGGATTGTAAGTGTGAACAGTGGACACATTGGAAACTTGTCCGGACTGCGGAAAGCACTCACTTGGTCAGGCGCTCGATGACCTGTGCGTGGAGGTGGGTGTGGGTCTGTGCCAGGACGGCCTCGTGCTGGGCACACTTCAGACACAGCCCGCCCACACGGCTGGCGCCATCAGCCGCCGCCAGGGCCTCCTGGTGTCTCAGCCGGCTCTTCATCTCCTCGCCCTCCTTCTGGGACGTCGCCAGCTCCTTCCTGAGAGCAAAGGACATGTGTTCAATCCCATCAAGGCACGGGATGAAATCAAGACATTAGCCCACCCACCAAAACAAAGAGTGCTAAGCTCAGCAGCTGGTGATGGTTTGCCATGGGTCAGGGGCTGCTGCTGTCTACCAAACGAACCAGTGCTGGTTTTCATTTTATTTTACAGACTGCATTAAACTTCTTGAAATGCATTAAAATCACACCCCAACACCCTTTTCTTGCCAAACATGTATTTGTGATAGAGGTGGAATTCCATGCAAAGACATTTCCTCCTTCTGGATGATCTGCTACTACAAAACAACCTTACAAACTGCCAGCACTAAGTAGTTTAGCGAAGAACTGGACGGTTCCACTGTCACTCACCTCAATGACACAACATGCGCCTCCAATGTTTCTCTCTGCGCCTGATAGAGCTGCTTCAGTTTGTCCTGATGCAATTAAAAAAAAAAGATGGAACCTTAGCTGGTAATTATCACAACCTAATAATCAGTAACCATACATCTTAAAAATAAATAATATAACAGTTTCATCTAACGCTGCTGGATAGTTTGTTACTCTTAAGAATCTAGAGGCTTTCAGCAAATAAACCAATGACACCGATGTTTTTCTTTACTGAAGTATTCACAACGTCAGCAAAGGCAGCTGCCTGTCGATCAGCTCATGAAAGCTCCAGCTACCCTGTGCAGTGAAGATGGACCACTCAACACTGTTTTCCTGCAGTGCACAGGAGGCTGCCATACAAACCAGCTCGCTCTGCCACTTCTGTTCCTCAGCGGGGTGGCTGGGGTCTTGATGAGGCTTCTGCTGGCCGCGAGAGAGAGGTCCGGAGTCGAGGCTGCTGTGGACATTCTCCCTGGTGGCCAGGCCTTCAGGAACAGTTGTCTGAGACACAGAGGAACAGTTAGAGTGATGCCTTTTACCTTGGTGGGAAAAAAGAAAAGAAAAACTAAATTTGCCGATACCGTAGCATCCAAAATGGTATAGTCTTTAAGAGTGTCCTCCACCGTCCGAGACTTCAGCTCTCCAAGCAGTTTCTCGTTTTCAACAACAACCACTCTGATTCTCTGTTTCAGGCTCAAGAGCTCCTCCTGTGACCAAACAAACATAACTTAGGCCTTTTTCTCACTAGGTGCAAATGACAGTGGTTCAAAGCTCAAATTACAAGCACGACTTCCCAGACAGACCTTGCAAAATCTGACTTCTGCTTCCAGGTGCTGTATGTACTCTGACTGGTTGTGAATAATGGGTACGAGATCCTGAACTGCCGGCAGATCTGCCCCATCTGACTCTGAAGGTCTCTAGTAAACAAAGCAGGAGAGGCGCATTAGTAACTTGTGTTTTTCAGAAGCTGTTGTCAGCCACTCTCTGCCTGCAAAGCCAAAGACCAACACTGCTGCTTGTTCACTTTCCCCATCTACAAA